CTGGTATTGTCAGCAAGTTCTTCAGTGTATACCTCGTTTGCTATTGTCACTGTTACGCGGAACACAGCACCCTTTTCCATGGATTTCGTGGTAGGTGTTTCAAATGGTCCGGTCGTCGTTGCTTGCCATGATGTTTGCATGGTGTCCGCAGCCACAGAACGTAAAATGGGGCTTACTGACGACAATTGAGACGTAGGTAGAGCACCAGAAGTTGGAGATCCTAATTCCAGGATCGACGATAAAGATACTGCATAGGACTGACTTTGGGTCGCCGTAGTTGGTGTTGAAAATGCAAAAGCGCTTACTGAATTAGCATCAATAAAAGACGATAGTGATACACTTGTAAATGTGCTTGCTTGCGATAAAGTTTGCGTGGTATGTGAAGCCGCAGAACTTAACGAGGGACTCACTGGGGACGATTGAGGCGTAGTTAGAGTACCTGAAGTTGGCAATCCTACTGCCGAAATCGACGATAATGATACCATAATGGACTGACTTTTGGTCGCCGTAGTTTGGGTTAAAAATGCCAAAGGGTTTACTGACTCAGAATCAATATAAGACGATAGTGATACGCTTGTAAATGTGCTTGCATGCGATGATGTTTCCGTAGTATGTGAAGCCGCAGAGCTTAACGAGGGACTTACTGGGGACGATTGAGACGTAGTTAGAGCACCAGAAGTTGGAGATCTTAATTCCAGGATCGACGATAAAGATACTGCATAGGACTGGCTTTGGCTTGCCGTAGTTGGGGTTGAAAATGCAAAAGAGCTTACTGGATCAACATCAGTAAAAGACGATAGTGATACACTTGTAAATGTGCTTGCTTGTGATAATGTTTGCGTGGTATGTGAAGCCACAAAAAGTAAGAAGGGGCTTATTGGCGACGATTGAGAGGTAGGTAGAGTACCAGAAGTTTGCGATCCGACTTCCGAAATCGACGATAAAGATACTCCAACGGACTGACTTTTGGTCGGATTAGTTTGGGTTGAAATTGTCAAAGAGTTCACCGAATCAACCTTAGTAATGGATGGTGGTGATGAAGGTGTTAATGCAGTTGTGTGGGACGACGTTTGCGTGGTTCCGAAAGTCTCAGTAAGCACCCCAGTGAGGTTTATGGAAAACATCGTCTTCATTTTTCCTTTAATATTCGAATCTCTGTGGACGAATATTTTTAGTTGATAAATGACACTGTTAGCCTGAATAATTTTCTTAACCAACAACGAGTGAAATCCTCTTAAGTTTTTGAGTGCGTTGTTAACCTTCTCTTGAACTTCCGTTGCAAAGTCCTGAAATTTCTTGCCCTCTTTGTCTCCAAGACTGCTATTGTAATCTCTTTTTATTATCATTATTATTACATCGGACCCTTTAAGGGTGACTGCTGGTGTTTGAGTCGTATATGAAATAGTGATTGTGGATGAAACACCACTGGATTGGCTTGGATTCGTACTAGGTTTTATTTTCAAACGATTTTTCTTTTTTCCTGTGTTATTTGAGTCCCCTTGAACGAATGCTTTTATTTGGCAAATGACACTGTTAGCTTCAAGAAATGTCTTCACTACGTGAGGCATGAGCGCGTTGTTAATATTGTCTTTTATTTCCGCTGCAAAATCCTGAAATTCCTTGCTTTCTTTTTCTCCGAGATTGCTCGTTATTGTCTCACCGAACCTTTTAAAACTTTTTTCTAGATTTCGAGTTGGCGGCGAAATTGGTTTTGTGTGTGGAACACCATGAGATTGACTTGGAATCGGATGAAGTTGAGTTTCAAAGGACTTAACAGAAACTGTTTGTGTGCTTGTTGGCTGTTGCAGCTTTGAAGAAAAGGCAGTTCTGGAAACAACACTCATAGAAAATGTAACAGGCCAATGGGTACTAGATGACCATGATTTACTTGCAGATAATCTCGAGTTTTGCGTTATCTTGGCCTTTGAGGAAGTTACCGGACGTAATGAAACAATTTCAGTACTTAATGACGGGGATGTAATCGTTCGTTGGCCTGAACGAGGAGTAGTGATGGAAGCCACTGAACTTTCCGAGTGAATTTTGGTTTGCGATAATGATGATACACCGCTGATGGAACTTGAAAAACTTGGTGATTTACTTTTAATCTTCTGACCTATAAACGCAACAAAGTTTATCTTTTGATTTATGTGATCACCTCTGTACGGTACGTTACCCCTTTATCTATTAACAATGCCGCACAGCTTTATCCCATACCTCTAACCCTCACACCCTACCCCGCCCCTTCCCTCCACACTCTTTCACCATCGAGGTAGTCACAAATGTCCAACTCTAGCCACGACATTCCTTTTTTATTTTGGTTACCCTTTGTTCTACACCTCTAAAGGTGTAAAAGTATGGAACGGTCTAACAGAGTAAGGATTATGTCACCATGCTTCTCCCTCATCACTGAACCCTTGTAATTCTTCACTTAGCTTTGCTTCAGATCTCTAGAGGTGTGGAAGTGTGGGATGGTCTGACAAAATAAGGATTATGTTATGCTTCTCCCTCGTCACTGAACCCTTGTAATTCTTTACTTTGCTTCACATTTCTAGAGGTGTGGAATTGTCTGTAGTCTGATGGAGTAAAGATTATGTTGCACTTCTCTTCATCATGAATCCCCTCAGTCATTCTTGACTTATCGATTCCTTAGTTCCAAACTGTTTGGTGTGTGGAAGTGTGGAATAGTCTGACAACAAGTAAGAATAATTTACCATACTTCTCGATTGCAAACAGAAAAGATGACGAGGACTTCACAAAGCGGGATGTATGTTTATCTATAGTTTTCCAGTTAACTTCCTTGTAACAAGGAAATGCTACGTGGGACACTTTGTGGGAAAACTTGAAACTATTCGCTTTTCTTGGCTATTGGATGGAACTGTAATGATTGGTCTTAACGTTAAACAATAAATCCTTTCAAAACGGGGGTTTAAAGACATTCAGTATTCTGCAAACTGCTCTTCTGCAGTTTGATGCATTCCCCTTGTGTAAATGAATACATTCTTGTGAGGGAAGAGAGCATTACCGCATAAATCAAGAAAATGCAACCGTTCTGACTATAGATCATCACTTAATTATTGATCCAGAACTGACTTTGTTGCCAGGAATTATTGCTGTGACAAGCGATACTAAATATAACATCAAAGCCTGCGTATTCAGCCAAGAAACGAAATGGAAATGTACGTCCACTACACATAATTCCACCTACCGATTTACTTGTTTTCATTTCTGATTGACGCAATTGCATGATACACTCTTTTTTTTTAATAAGAATGTTGTTTTCCAGGGCCAGGCTGAATATTCTTACTTTTCCGCCGATTTTAGGTTGTAAATATTCTTGTATTATTCCTAATAATAGCTTATGACATTTCCGAATTAGAATATATTTAGGTGTCAATTATAGTTTTGTTAAATATAGTTAGCTAGTTTTGCCGTTTAAAGAAAGGAATAAATTGAAAAGGTATATTTGTATTGTATTTACAGATTTTCACCACGGGAAATTATATCCTTTTCAAAATCTCAGCCTGGAGTTTATTCTTAAAGTATTCTTAAGATTTCGCAAATTTCAGCCTCGATATTCTTATAAAATATATTCTTATGGAAAAAAAAGAGTGTAGCGAATATTCATTATTTTTACTTTTCTTCCTTTTTTCCTCCTTTTTTCTCCTTCTCTTTGTNTTTTTTTTTAATAAGAATGTTGTTTTCCAGGGCCAGGCTGAATATTCTTACTTTTCCGCCGATTTTAGGTTGTAAATATTCTTGTATTATTCCTAATAATAGCTTATGACATTTCCGAATTAGAATATATTTAGGTGTCAATTATAGTTTTGTTAAATATAGTTAGCTAGTTTTGCCGTTTAAAGAAAGGAATAAATTGAAAAGGTATATTTGTATTGTATTTACAGATTTTCACCACGGGAAATTATATCCTTTTCAAAATCTCAGCCTGGAGTTTATTCTTAAAGTATTCTTAAGATTTCGCAAATTTCAGCCTCGATATTCTTATAAAATATATTCTTATGGAAAAAAAAGAGTGTAGCGAATATTCATTATTTTTACTTTTCTTCCTTTTTTCCTCCTTTTTTCTCCTTCTCTTTGTGTCTTTTCTGTTTCTTTTTTCTTTTTAAGGCATATTTTGAAAGAGCTTTTGCCTTGAAAAAAAATTGGATTTTAGAGCTCTCTTACGCCAGTTACGCAAAGGCGTTTTAAAGCGACGGAAGGCAACGGGAAGTGCACGATTTGCATTCTTGGGCATGGGTTTTCCTCAAATCGTCTCTAAAAAAGGGTAAAAGAACTTGACAATACAAATGTGGTAGAGTCAAGGCATATTAAAAGGGAACGTTGAGTTGTCGTCTGTCGCTCAAAGACGCCTCTGCTAAAGCTCACTAACTGTTCGTGAAGTCGTTTAGTATTTTCTGTGGTCCTCAGCTCATCATGAGGATGTTGATGGTTTTCACTGACAAGCCATCGAAGACTATGAAACCATTGACTGAAACCATTTTTAAATACCTGGCCTCAAGCCACGAATTTGAGTTATCATCGAATACTGATGAATAAACAATATGTCTAAGTCTCAGGTCTGTGCGGTTTTCCGCTGCTAATAAGTTACTCTCCAAATGTTTTACAAAAATTTATAGGACTCTCTCTGGCGACTCCATGTTTGTGCCAATCTGAGAAACAAATTTGGAGGCTACAATTACTGCAAAATCTATTGTCAAGTCTTTCCACGAATGTGATTAGTTAGTAAATGCTCACCTTAACATATTTCTAAAAATGTCGTACGACAAATCGTGTTTTTTTACAAACGTGACAGCTTTCTCAGTTGCATTTTTAATGTCGCGCGAGAACAAGGGCTTTATTTTCAAAACTGAGAAACCCGTCAGCCGTAAAACTCGTAAAAAAGTTCCGATTTTTTTAAAGTTATAGGCTTGTTGAGGATGAAACCTCAAAAACAAACCCTTTCCGTTTTTAATCATGACGTCACGTGAAAACCAAGATACTGTAATACGTTAGACTTACAAGTATGAATTTTAAAGCATCATTTCTGTCCTTGTGTAACATATTGAGTGTTAATTTAAGATATCGTTTATGTGTTGAGGCCGTTTTTCACATCACTGATTGAAAAGCTTAGGGAAAGTTGCTTTCAGCAGATTATTAACTGTCTGTTATTCCATTTCAATATGCAATTCCACTTTCCATTGTTGCTGTCTCAGTCAAAACGTCTGCAGAATGAATTCTAATTGTAAAAGATAAGTAAGACCCTGTTTACATGGAGTGAGGGACCCCGGTCTAGTGGGGTAGGTTTCTTTTGTTTTGTGTCCCTCAGAGCGTGAAAACAAAAGAAACCAACCCCACTAGACCGGGGTCCCCCACTCCATGTAAACAGGCCCTTAGTTTGACCAGAGAACTGTTTTAAAATATATTTTCTCATGTTGAATAAAAAGTTTATGTTCCAAAGTTATGTCAATTAACCTAAACCCATTTTTCTAACTCACCTTGACAAAGGAATGCATAAAAAATCCACGTTACTACAACAACAGAAACGAGATTCGTGTGTTGCAATCGCTTCATTTCCAT